ATTTAGATTATTAATATTTTTAATTAATTATTTCTTTATAATTTTATTTATTCTTCTTATTATTTATTTATATTATTTTTATTATTATTTATAATTATCATTACTTATTGAATTATGATTAGTTATCCTCTGGAAATATGAATTAAGTTAATTAATTCTGTTTAACCATATATATTTTAAAATAGATTTCATTATTAATTTATTTACTTTTTGTATTCATTTCTTTTGCTATAAATAAGATCTTTCTATTCTGTAATTTTCTCTCAGATTTGAATACTTTTAAATAATAAAAACAATTATAAGTTATAAAATTAAAACTGCTCATATTGCATTTTATCTTGTTTACAACTATTAATAAAATAATCTTACAATCCATCTACAAACTAAATCATAATTAGGTTTTTGTAAAATTTCACCTTTAGTAAATGTATATTGCTTATTTTCCATCTAATTCTGCATTTTTTATGCATTCTATCTTTAAATACAAATATCTAATGGTTGAACAAGTAATGTAAGACCACCAGATATAATAGCCAAATCAATATTATTTTGGTAATATTTTTCTTTTACAAGTCTTGTTTTATGACCTTCAAATCTATCTATTATTAATAATGTTTTTTCATTTAATTTAAAATGATTTTCCATATTTCTTGAAACCAAGCTATCATTAGATTCATCCATCTAACCATTTTCTTGCATTTTAACTATAATATTAGGAGAAAGATCTTTTGGTGATTTTTTGCCTTTAAATTTACCATAGGTTTAAGTTTAGTTCCATCAGCAAGAATTTTTAAGACACATATAAAGTGATTTTTATCATTGCCTGTAGTGAGAATTTGAACCATATGCATGCCTTTTTTTTCTATTTTCAAATTACCAATCATATCAAAAAAATTGGAGTTCCATCCATATTTGCAATTTGTGATAAAGGATATTGATTTTTAAAATTATATGTTTTAATAAATGTATTAAATAATTCTAATTTTGAAGAAAGTCTCTAGGTAATTTTTGTCCAATTTTTGTTTTTTTGATGAATAGAAAGATCATAATGATTCATAAAGCCATAGAACCATTTATAAGATGCTATGAAGCTATTTTTAGCATTAGGATATTGTTGTGAGTATTCATTATTAAGGAGAGATTTTATTTTTTGTTGAACCTTATATGTTGTAATAGCAATTCCATCTTGACGTAAAATTTCAATCCATTTATTTAATTCTTCGACATCTGGATATAAAGGTTTTAAACCAGCACCAATACGGCGATTTTTAGCTTTCGATATAGCTGATTCATGCGAAGTTTTTCTCTGGCTGTATATAAAGTACGAAGGATTTTTGCCAAAATAGAAAATATGATATGAAAAATACCATTTTTATCTTTTTTTATTACTTAAATTTTTTTTCTTAAATTTATTTTAAATTTTTAAATTTTTTATCGTTGTTTTAACAATAACGATAACGATAATGATAACGATAACTTAAATATCATTGTACATGTACATGTATCACATTCGATAACCAATTAACAACAAAAATAGGGTAAAAAACAATACGGGATGTTGCTTATATTCCGCCAAATACGGTACTTGTAGTTGGAATGGATACCAATATATCAAACGCTTTTCCTTTTTCAATTAAATTTTCACATTTATATTGTACATAGAATATATAACAAGAAAGGAAAAAATTTTAGCATTGAAATCTAGGCTTTTCTAGAAAAAAATTCAAGTCATAGATTTTTCAACGTAAAAGATTATTCAAGCATTTTTACCCAAAAAACTATGTATATGCATGAAAAAAACTAAGTAAAAAATAAAATTTAGCAGCAAAATATTAATATATTTTATAAATATGAAAAAATTAATTTTTAAATTACTATTTAATGTATTCAAAAATAAAGTATACGATTATTTAGGGTAAATGTCTTCGAAATTAAAAGATTCAATCATTTCAGGAGCTTGATCGTGTTCATTTTCTACAGCCTTATGATACCATTTTGATGCTAAGTCAAAGATTTTCGAAATACCTATTCCATATTGATAAAACTTTCCAAGATTAAATTAGCCTTATTGTTTCAAGTTCTGCAGCTCTTAAATTCTAATTTAATACTTTTGTTATCATCTTTACTTGTCCCTTCTCCATATTTATAACATTGTCCAAGTCGGAAATAGAAGTGTGAATTACCATTTTCAGATGACATTAAAAGATGGTTGAATAAAATTTCTCCATTTCTTTTGTAATTTTATAAAAAAAATCGACCTCTTCATGACCAGAACTAGCAGATTTTAATAGTGATTCATATTCTTTGTCTGCATCAATTTCTACGTCCATACCTCATAATACGACAAGATAATCTCGCGCAACAAATCTTCTGACTATGCTGCTTTCAAGTGCCACTCGAATGTCTTTTGTTCATCTTTGATGGTTCCTCTTCCATTTTTATAAAAAACACTGAGGTTATATTGCGCATCAAGTTGTCCCGATTCTGCAGTTTTCAAGTACCACTCGAATACTTTTATTCAGAGTTCACAGATTTCAAAGCATCTGATCTTTCTAGATGAATTTGTTATTGATTCATGATTTGATTTCCCTTGAGTTTTTTGCATTTTATTTGATCTGAATAACTTGCTATAGATAACTTGAATAGTTAACAATTAAATTTGCATCTGTAGCAAGAATGGATGATGATGTTGATAATGTTGAAGTCCAATCTATTTTGATCTTTTGCTCAGCGATATTAGTACTGCGATCAATCCTCTTATCTTCAATCTTCATGGACCCTCTTCGTGTTCAGTTAGATTATTTCTTTTATTTTTTGCTAAACTATTATTTTGTTGATTTCGGATAGTTTTACATGTATATAACATGAATTACATGTACATGTACACGCATTCAGAAAAAGAATCATTTACTGTATGTAGTGCACAAATAATATATTTACATGTACATGTGCTATCATTTTACATATATCACACTCAATCGGAAGTTAACCAGAAAAATGCATATAATTACTTCTATTTGGTCTATTGGATTTCAAAGTTGGACAGGTTTAATGAATTCGTGGAAAAGATTAGACTATGATTTGTTGATCTTGAAGAGCTTCTTTACGATATGCTAAAGGTCTCTGTGCCAGTAAACTACAGTTACTGGCAAATATAAGTTTATCGATAATAACAATTTATTTGGGTAATGGAAAAGGTGGTTACACGAATAATCACAATTGATTCTTTAACTATAGACTATTTGGCTGGATACATGTCCAAACTATACTAATGACTGTTTTATTTTTACGGCGGTCGAAATGGTGAAAATAATCATACAAAACACTATACAACTTAGTATACAAAAGAGTGAACTAAAGCGTGTACAAAAGTATGTACAAAAGTGTGTACAGATTTCTTTGATTCTTGTAACAAACAATAGTAAATAAAAAAATTGTTGTACTCGGTCAATTCCAGCAACATTATTGGAACATAAAAGAAATAAAAAAAATAAAAGTGAAGTTAATACTATTGCTTGATAAGTTGTTTTGGTTTTCCGTTATTACTTTTCGAATTAGGTCCAGGTAGTACAAACTGATTACCTGCAGGTCACGTAGGAAAGATCACGGGTTTAGATCGAAACTTTCATGAGATTTTATTATGATGATCGTCTCCCTTAAAATATTGAATAGATAAAAGGTACTAAAAGCATTGTCTATCTAAAACAATCAGAATCATTTTTTTATTTCATGTTTCGCTGAAAATTCACGAATGACATAGTCGTTGTTTGTTCATTTTGAAGTTTGTGCTTGACAAATGTTGCGGTACGTGCATTCAGACAAATTACCGGTATGTGGTTTGCAAATTTAAATACTACGGCCTAGGTGGTGATTCTAAACTCGTAGGATCTGGTGAAATTGCTATGAATAAAATTATTGGTTAACTTTTTTGAGTATAGAACATATAATAATATATTCCCATAATTCGCAAAGAATGTTCACGGTGAGAAACCAGTTTTAGTCGTCATAAACGATTCTACTTCAGTGGTGCCACGGGTTTAAGAACTTTTTAGCGAACTAAAATCGGTTAAAAAATTCTGTGAATGTTTTGTATCGAATATTTGAATTACCGTAAACGCAAGAAATGTTTTAAAATCTATCTTAAAGAAAAAATTCAATTTATTATTCAAGCAAAAAAATTATACTCTATACAAAGTTGTCTACAACATTGATTGTAGATATGCGTTGATTATGCAAATTTAATACATGTAAATGACGATACAATGAAATTGTTCTAATAAAAATGAAAATATATATTATATATACTTTTATATTGATTTACTTTGCTAAAGCAGCTTCAAGATCTACTCCTTCACGAACTTTAAAGATTAATTTGTACTCTGATGGAATATTATCGAAATCGTGGCCTTTTTTTGCGTCAAGATCAATCTTTATCGGTTCATTAGTAAATAAATCTCTTTCCAATTCAAGGTCAAATATTGCTAACGTGTGCCCTATAATTGTACATATATTACAGTAAGCCAAGTTGATTCCCAAGCATGCCCGGCGTCCGCGACTAAATGACTATTACAAAAGAATATTATTAACCGATTTTTTAGGAACCAAACATGATTTTGTGATTAATAAGTTACCCATGGATCACGAATCTCATCATAATTTTTTAGATGTCCATCTTTATCCAAATATCTTTCAGGATGAAATTCATGTGGTTCATCAAAAAGTCGAGGATCAGAGTGAATAGCATTGAAGTTAACTACGATTCCAGTATTTGCGGGAATATGGTATCCATTGTAAGTTTCGTCCTGAGAACTGCAATGTGGTATACTTAAATTTATGACTGCCCTATTTGTCGAGATTTTTTTGTTAATTACTCAATATCACAATTTTTCTTAGCAAGAAAAAAAATAATAGAATAAAACATTTCTTACTTAAATCTTAAGCATTCTTTTATCGTAGCTTTCAAATAATGCAAGCCTGCCTCATGGTTCATAGAATAAAGCTTTCCTTTACCAACTATTCTATCTAATTCCTGTTGAATTTTACGTTGCGCTTCAGGATGATTGGCTAAAATAGCAAAAATCCAATATAAAGTACCACTTGTTGTGGAAATTCCCGCGATCATCAGATCATTGCAAATAGCGAGCACGTCGTAATCATCCAAAATGTATTTTCCATTCTCATCTTTTTTGAATTCGTGTGTGCGTGGAGAGGAGACGAATGATGAATCGATCGTCACCGATTTTAAGATTTCGGCGGAAACACAAGTTTCAGAATCTGGTCCGTTTTTAATCATTCGATCCTTGACTTGTTGTAGTATCTCATTAGAGAATTCATCCATCCTTGCGGTTAATCGCTGTGCTTCTTTCCTTAAGGTTTTTTCAACACCAAAATATTTGAGCCAACCAAATACTTGCAATACGTTGGCTTTGACATCCGTAAAATCAACAATCTCTTTTGTCAAACGAGAATAACGTTCTAAAACAGTATCATCATTTGCTGATTCACCAAATACCATCGTTGCATGAATTTTGGTGACAAGAGTTTTAACCTCTGCGGTAAGACTTTGAGGAACATTATTGGCTTGAGACTTCATATGCAACTGTTGCAAGAAATGTTTCACGTTATCGCATATGATTGGGAAATGTAACTTTTCAATTAGATGAGGACGAATTGCTTGCGATTCAAACGATCTCATTATTTTCCACCAATTATGATTCTATAATGGACTTTATTTAGTAAGTAACTTACGGTGAATAACTGGCAATTAAAAAAGAAATCAAAGCTACCGGAGAATGAGGCACACTCTTGCTTTCATGAAAAAGAATGTCATAGATAACACCTAAGTTCTTCATTATAAAATGTACATGTATTTCATTGTGTTAGGATTCGCTTTTTTCTTAAATTAATAAGAAAAGAATCGTAATATAAAATACCGGGCGCGAAGAAAAAGTAGTACCACGTTTGACAAATAAGTCTTTTGCTATCATATAATCATTGACAATAATCCAAGTAATTTGTCCCATATGTACTTTAAATATCGGACCAAAAGTTTTATTCATTTTCGTAAAAGTCTGATGCATTAAACGTCCTCCAACCCCAAGTTGGTGTAGGTTTCCGATAATTGGTAAAGGAGTTGGACCCGGAAGCTCATTAGGACTTCCTTTTGGCTTATTTTGCCAGTAATATATCAAAATAAACAAAGAAAAGAAAAAAATGTAGGTTTCGAATTCCATGGTTAGATCTCAAAAAGAAAAGTAAAAAAAAACACTCTCTAACAACCTAGGTACATGTAATGCGTATTTAACGTTAAACTGGGTAAAACATTCAATATCGCACGAACAGCATTGGTTTCTAACTCTCCCATATAATATAAATTTGGAACCAATGCCATTAGCTGATTTTCATTTAATTTAAGAACTTCTGCTGTGCGTGTAAGTTCACAAATCGGCAGCATGAGATATGTGTACATGTACATGTATTTAGAAATTAACCTGATTCTGCATATGTGCAAAATTATTTTCACAAATTCACAGTTGCATACATTCGCAATGAACTAAATGTACCTGTATAAATAAACGTCAAGCTCTTATTCAATAAATAGAAATTTAATGCATGTATCCATGATTACATGTACCTCTATAAGGGTTTTCGATTGCAATACACTATTCGTATACGTAACATGATGTTCTTGAACCTTAGAAAAAAATTATGGTCATCCATTTAATGAAAAATTCGCAACCTTGTAGTTATTGTTATTACACGTTATTATTGATGCTTATCGTTATTAAACTACATCGCTTAAAATGATATTAGCTAAATGGATTGTTATAATACAATCCTGGAGGAGCACATGTACAACGTGCGTTTTTATTTGATTAAAATTTTAATCAAGTTTCGTTTATTACATTTAACTGTGTTTCTGTATGGACTATAACAAGAACTTTTATGCTTATTAACTTTATACTGTGATTCGTCACATTATTCCCTTTTACATGTACATGATGTTCGACCATTCTCTTTTCTACACCATGTTTATTGGTTATCAAGACTTTGTTCACGATCAATTGATTGATGGATTGGTGCTAAGTTATCGCTAATTCTTTTTGTCTTCCAAATCGGGATCATTATTCCATCATATGCATTGAGATCATGTAATACATGTACACGTACACCCAAAAAAATCGGCGATCTGTGTAAAAGCATATAATAGAGAAATGTACTAATGCTTTGAACACTTCCATATCTTTCAAATTTCCGAAGAGAAAGAATTTTGCAACTAGGTTTTCCTACGATTATACATTTTTATTAGAATTAGAAATGCTAGGTTTTGAGGAAATAGGAAATTTGGTTACAGTTTGGCATTTCTTAATAATTCAGTTCTTTTAATTTCCTTTTAATCGATTCTTGATAATAAGCTCTATTTTACATAAAATTTTCTTATATTGAATATATCAATTGCCGCATTTTTTGTTATTGTTGAGCTAAAAGCTTTATTATTCATAATTAGGAGATTATATTTTGTAAAGCTCTGACCTTACGTCTTTTCATCTTACGTGGCGAAAATTAATGTAAAATCAGAATATAATCGATTATATCTCATAAATAATGTTAAAAATGGTTGCAAAGTACCAATGCTGTGCTTATAATTATAAATCATAAAACGAAGTGATGCTTTACTCCGTTAAAATCTTATTATACTAATCATTGCTTTTCACAAATATATAGTAAGTATTAAAGAGGCATATACATTGATAATGCTTACATCTTATTTTTC